TATTTTTGTTTTATGATTAACCGAAGACAAAAATCCTTAGAAGAGACCACTTCATCTTATTCATACACATAATTTCCACTCTAAGCTTAATTATTCTTTCAGAAAAATTACTATATCATTAGGTGGTGTGTGTGTATATATATATTTTAATAATATATATATATATATATTATAGGTAATATATATATAGGTAAACTTCAAAGAGAAAAACACCTCAGTACATATGTAGCTTGCAAGTTGATTACAAACTCACTTTTATTCATAATTAGGTATAAAATGATGAAAAAGGACTGAGGATATCTTCGTACGAGAAAAAACTTACCTAGATCCGATCCATATCCTCGCTCTTTATAGAAAAACTTACTTAGATTCGATCAATGTCTCTGCTCTTTTTAGAAATCTGAATTTTATTTACTTGGTCCAGCAGTGGAACATGAACTATATTCAGGTAAGTTTTTTTAACTGTATATGTATCTTCAAGGGTTGGGACAACGTGGATCACGCTCGTAAGGATTACAAGGTTTTTTGGGAGGACTACGCCCAGCAGGGAGACAGTATCGACTCCCACGGCCGCATCCAAATGATGGGCTTTTGGGATTTCTTGCTACTGGCCTTGTTATTGGTTTGCCACTGGCATTAACTGCTGCTGTTGATTAACTGCTGCTGTTGCTATTCCTGCACCAAACATTTATTCATATTCAACATTTAGACTCTTGATTGTATATATTTATTATAAATTTAACAAGGTGGCAATATCATAAAATAAACACGTCTATTACTTCAATTTGTGAAAAGAATTATAAAACCAATATTTTAGAAATTAAGGTTAGAGTCGTTATAAGAAAGTTTTATATTTTATATTTTATATTTGAATTTGCTAAGCGAGATGAATAATTTATTGAAAGAAAGTGGTAGCTAGCTAGTTATTACCTGTCTCAAAATCAGCTAATTCACTAGCTGCAGCTGAAGAAGGGGAAAGGGAAATGGTAACCAAGAGAATGCAAAATAGGAGAAAGGCCTTCATGTTGGAGATGATTTATATTTTTATTTGCAATTATGTCTTTCCTAAATTACTCTTATTTATAGTAATAAATCAGCAAGACAAATTTGAATTGTAATAACATAATAATTTGCACTACATGTTAAAACATATATAAAGACTTTCTACTTGACTCTACAATAAATCCATTTTGTAGTTTTTTCCAAGCAATTGTATGGCTGTTATAATAAATTAAACAAATATCTACCAATATTTTTCTTTTAATTATTTGGTCATTATATATTTTTATATAAATTAAACAAATATCTACATGTTAAAATTTTATATATTTTTTATTTTTTTCTAATATTAATAGTATAAGTTTTACTTAATTTATAAATATGAATTTCGTGTGCCAAGTTAATTATTGTAGTATTATTTTTTTGCCGAGGTTTACTTATTCAGAAAAGCAAATTTTTTACGCTACGACAATCAAATGAATATAAGGAAAATATAGTATTTTTAGTATCTGTAAAATTAAAAAAATAATAATAAAGTACTAATTTTTTAAAAAATATTTTGGGAAGTATAAAAAATAATAAAGAACTCAATCAATTATACTTGTTGACTCCAAGTCAATGCGGAAAACAAAAAGTAGTAATAATAATTTTCCATTGAAGTAGACTGCCTTTTCAAATTAAATTATCTAAATATATCAATTGGATGATAGTTTGATTGATCTTCTCACTTATATAACGAGTGTTCGAAGTCCTGCTATATTTTCAAATTTTGATATTTTACTGTTTCATAAAAGGGTAAAGGGCTGACTGCCTCAATTTGAAAAATTATATTCTTTTTTTCATACTAGAAAAAAGAATTTTCACACCAATTTGTAGTGTTTTGATTGGTCTCCTCCAAAGTCTCGACTTCGAGTCTTTTTCACCAAAAAAATTGCCATTAAATTTATCTCTTCACCAAAAAAATTGTTATCAAATTTAGTGAAGGTTATTGAAAAGAGAGAGTCATCATATTGTGTAGCTCACAGTGTTAGTTTGATTGATTGGATATTTTTTAGTTACTAGTTCTAATAGTCCAAATTGTAATTTTAGGATTGGATATTCAAAACCTTTTAATATACAATTTTAAAGTATATTGCAGTATTATTACCTTTTAATAATGGTGAAATACCCAATTGGATATCCAATTAACAAATTTATTAAATCATTGGAAGGGGCAATGCATATATAATTTGTTTATTTTCCACTAATAACATCTCTTATATAATTATCTTTGCATATTTTTGCATATTTTTAGGTATTATTTTTTACCTGTTAAGAGGTGGTCCGGAGGATGGTTTTGCGAGAAAACAATGAATACTTTTTTTTTTTTTTTTTTTTTTTGTTAAATTAAACAAAAGAAAATATTTTACCTATCCACCAAGAACAAAATTCATTGTATTAGATATCCAAAAATTGGAAGGGATTAATAGTCATTTTAATATTTTCACTCCTTAAGAATTTTTTTTTTAATTTTTTCTTTATACCTTTGATTTATTAAAAATTAAAAAAATATTAACTGTCTTTTGAGTATTATTATTTCGTTCAAGGTTTAAGAATGATTGCGCAAATCAAAAAACAATTTGATTTTTCAATTTAAACCATTAATTCTCACCTCAATTTGAATTATCCAAATTTAAACAATTTAAAATATGATTATACTGTGAGAGAATTTAATAATATAAACGGTTGATTATATGATAACAAATTATATATGTGAAGGTAAAATTATAAATATGTAAACGACATGCAACACAAGGTAAATAAATAAATAAAACTTCATATAAGAAAAAGCAATGTTCTAAGATAACATCTGCATACATATATAAGTATTGACGTATAGTTGACAATAGACTAAAATAACACTGCAGGCTACACAATAGGGGTAATACTCTCCCTTAACTCATTAAATTAGTAAAAATACTTGTAATCAAAATGACTCTAACTTGAAACTTTTCGCTACTCGTATAAGTGAACTAGACCATATTTGATTGGCCATAACACTTGTTTTTATTTATTTATTATTATGTATAAAATGAAGATGACTTCATATATATATATATATTAGTATATAATATATATATATTATATATATATAAAGCCAAAACTTAATCAATTACAACTTGACTCCACAATATATCCATAGATAGATTTTTCCATGCAATTGTATGGCTATTATAATAAATTAATAAATTAATAATTGTAGCAAAGCTAGGAAAATAGACTTACGAAATGACTCCAAGTCAATGCAAGACATAGCCAGAGATTCTGTGGTTGACAGTCGGACAAATCAAAATATTGGGCGGAGGAAATTTCATTTTCAAGATTTGATCTTTCTCTCTGGTACTGAAATGTGGAAGGTGATCAAAGTTGACTCGTCTATTGAACTATTTATAGAGAGAATTGCACTTCTTTTCTCATATCAGAAAAAGAATTTTATAATATGCCAAAAAATGTATATATATATATCGATAAAATTTGAATCTCTTATTTTAGATTATCATTCAATAAAATTTATTAGATGAATCTTTTATCGGAAATTCAAAATGAACAATATCATTCCGTGAAAGAAATTGTAGGATTTTCTTAATTGGACCTTTGTTTTGCATTCTTAAATTTAGTCTAGGCTCATAAATAGCTCTAATAATTGGGTCAAAAAAAGGTTCTCCTAAAACCATTTTAGGAAGTAAAGGTCAGAAACTTCTACAAGGAGATTTCATATATATTTGAATATGTTGAGCAAAGAATAAGCATATCTATCTCCTGTACCTCATTTAATGAAATAAATAAACACTATTTTTCACTTTAAGAAAATAGAATTAAATGCGAGAATCTCGAGCATCGAATCGAATTATAAGATTGAATATAACCTTTTAAAATTAATTAATTATATATATATATATATTTTATATATATATATTTTTTTTTTTCCATTAATTCTGTCACATGATATAAAAAATTAAGTGCAAATAATGTATTTATATAAATTTCAATTCTAAATCATTTACTAAATACAAAATGAAAGAAAACTTAATGACTTGTTTGTTGTAAGTTTAAAATATCAAACTATATATCAAGTTAAAAATTTTAATATAAAACAATGTAAAACTAAAATTTCCTATCCAAATCCATATTTATTCATTTTCATTTTCAAATTTAAATTCAAGCCCTTCGTTATCTTCTTCTTCTTCTAATATAACTATATTTTCTTGCTTCTTTCCTCTATATTGACTTGTATTGACTTTTCCATTAGATTTGTTAGGTGAGAAAATTATCGGATATGAGAATCGACTTGAATTATAAGATTTGTGATCAATGCTGATTCACTCATGCGATTAGAAATGTTTAACATGAAAATTGAATTGAATCATAAAATTCATATCATGAATCATAAGATTCCGATATCACTAATATTTTAAATTGTGGAAATACAAAGTAGCTAGCTAGTTAGCTGGTTCTTATCCATCTGAGCAAGCTAATTCCCCAGCCGCAGTGAAAGAAGGAGAAAAGAAAATGGCAGCCAAGAGTATGTATATCATACGTGTACTTTCAAAAGGTTTTCAAATTTCATACATATTATAAAAAGTTAAAAGTACTTTTTCTTTTTCAAAAAAATCCTAATTCATATGATGTTATTTGAAGAGAAAGGATTTGAATTGCAACCAATATCTTTTGATAGGATGTCTACAAGCTCAGGTGAAACTTCAATGTCAGATACTGTTGACCAACCTTCAAAACCTCCCTCAGTCATTCATGTCACATATTATGGTCCACAACCATTTAGACATTCAGTGTCGGTTCCTTCAATATTCTACCCAATATTCTACCCTACTTATTTAACACACCAATTTATCCAGTCACACAGATACTCCGTTTCAGAGATTCATCAAGTCCAACCACCAGATATACACAAACACTCCATTTCAGAGATTCAACAAGCCAAACCATCAGACATTAAATTAAGATACATAAGAAATGAACTTTCATTATTAAAAAGGGAACTAATATAATAGAAATCAAATTAATAGTCCATATACTTAAGTATATATGGATAGACGTATTTTATTGCATTAATAGTATTTTTTTTTTTTTTTTTTTTTTTTTTATAATCAAACGACGAACAACACATCAAGTACTAAGACAGTCGCAATTATTAAGCAGAAAAGAAAGTTCTTCAAGACAGTTCTTACCGAGAACATTTATATGTCCACCACGTACAGAACATCCATTTTCAAGAAACTACTTGTTTCATAAGCATGGGACTTGTATTGATAACAAGGCTTTTACGTCGGTGGCTTCTTCTTCTTGGGTGGTGGCTTTTTCTTCCGTGGATAAGGTTTGTATGGATACCCTTTCTTTGGATAAGGTTTGTATGGATACCCTTTCTTTGGTCGAGGCTTGTACCCATCTGGGATTATGCCATCACTTCTTACTTCACCTAAAACGTTCACATGTATATAAATAACACGTTAAATTTATTTTTCCGTCAAGTTAACAATAAATCTATTTATAACGAAATTAGATAATCCACGGACATAAATTTTAGTTCAACTGAAATTTTTGGACTCAGAGAACTCAAAACCCTAGACTTCAATATCGTTAAATCAAAACTTGTTGGTAATTCATATTACAAAAGTACCTAATTGTCAAAGGGGTTTTTTTTTTTTTTAGTTTGAAGAAGTTGTAAGTCATTAAGGTAGCAGCATTTTCATGATTGAGATTATGATTGAGATTAACAAAGAATTTTAATTAAGGATAATTCTTAAATTTAGGAAACATAATTAAGCAAATGGAAATTATATTACTATTATCAGTAAGAATAGTGTGTGGTTGTGAATAATTACCTGCAGTTGTCTGTGTTAATTCTCGTGCTGTGGTTAAAGAGGAAGAGAAGAGAAACATTGCAAAGAGAATGCATATAATTGCGACAAGGAACTTCATTTTGAGAGATGATTGAATTCTTTTGCCACTTTGCAATTTCCTTCTTCTCTACTCACTCTTATTTATAGTAATAAATAAATGATATTAAATTCCCTACAATTAATTTTCACATTTATTTCATTTTCATGAAAATTAAGAAAATGAATAAGGATAATAAACTAAGTTACCCTTTAAATAATGTTTTATAATTAAAAGACAAAATTAGGGTTCGATTCTTAGAGCATCCAAACAGTTAATTAACCCCTTCTTGGACTTAAACCCATCAATGCTTATGGATCATAACCCATGTGTATTGAAAATTTCCTCGATTTATATAGAATGGGCATTTGCATGGACCTGAAATAGAAAGCAGGAACTACATCTGTCCCTTAGTCAGTGCTAAGGGCTGAACATCGCGCCGATATAAAAAAAAAAAAAGAAAAAATTAGGTGAAAATATTTAAATAATACTCTCTCTTGTTCAAGGTTTTTGTACAAGGATCAATGAAATAATTAATTCTCCTAGATTATAACAAAACTAAAGGTTATTTCACCAAATTATTGTTTATCTCAAAACCAACAGTTACTCGTGAAAGTATTTATTATATCTAATCAACATAAGTGTAAAACTGGAAAAACATCATCTATTACTCTTTAAAATACTCAAATCGACTTATGTTTTGGGATAAAATAATCACTCAAAAACGATTTATATTTTAAAATGGAGGAAATAGTAAAGTAGAAATAAAATAATTAATACTGTTTTAATTTTCTAAAAGTGTTATCTAAATGGAAAAAAAAAATACGACCTCTATTCCATAGTATTTGTCACATTTGAGAAAATAGCTTGTTCCAAAATACTTTTCATATTTGTGGTTTCAAGGAGTAATAAATGTTTCCGAGTAATAAATGTTTCCATGTTTACCCTTTGTATATGACCAATAATTATTATTTCAATTTAATGGTTTTCTTAGAGAATTAGTATTAAATTAAGAATATTATAGTCAATTTACTCAATAATTTATTGTAACTTAGATAAATTCAATTATTTTCTTAAGAAACATGAAATTCCAAATGTGACAGGTATTATGAAACAGATATAGTATTAAAAAGTGTCAAAAAAGATATAGTATTAAAAAGTGTCAAAATTAATGAAATAGATTTAATAAAAACTATTGTTAGACTTAATGGCAGAAAGGCCTACCATTTCATAAATGCATGTTGAATTTGTCCCAACTCCTAAATTTTTTTTTATTATTGTCATTTGATTTTGGGAAAATTATTATTTAGTCCCTCCGTTTTTACATAATTATCCAACTAATCCCAAGTTTTGCGCAAATATTTAACTAGTCCCTCAGGTTTAACTCCCCGTCTAATTTAAAGTCCTCCGTCCGAAAAAGTTTGGATTGTTTCCGTTAATTATAGACTAAAAGACTTAAAACACCCCTCCCTAGCTTTACGTGCGGACCATAAGGAAAAAAATTATCTAGTCCCTGCAGGTTTTACATAATTATTCTTACATAATTATCTAACTAATCTCAAGTTTTGCGCAAATATCTAACTAATCCCTCAGGTTTAACTCCGTCTAATTGAAAGGTCTTTCCGTTCGAAAAGTTAGTTTTTTTCCGTTAATTGAAGATTAAAAGACTAAAACACCTCTCCCTAGTTGACGTAGACCAGTATGAAGCGATAATGATATACCTAGTTTATAATATTAGATTTAATTTTTTTTATTCAATTAAAATTTATTAATTTTTTTATTCGAGTTTATAATAGTCCATATAATTTTTTTTATTCAAGTTGAAAAGGTCAATATCCCGGATAAAAACTATTCTCAAATAGTTGACAAAAGAAACCTTTCATAATATTGTCCCAACATTGTTTTTTTTTTTTTTTTTTTTTTTTTTTTTGAAAATTTATTACAACTTTCACCCATAGAAGAGTTTATTATACCAAATTTTAATGTAGGAATAGACCACACTATCATGTTTCATTGATAAGTTAAAAGAAACTTACCTGACTTGAAGATACAAAGTTTTCAACTACAAGCAACCAACAATCCATCTTGTATTTCGAACTATGAGAGAAATAAAAGATATATAAAAAAATTCTTCAATAATGAAAAACAACCCCATAAAAGAAGAGAAATTAATAACTCGTCTAAGAGAATACCAAAACCACTCAAGATCTATTAACTATTACATATCCGAGTGACTAAATTCAACTTTTAAAAATTATTAGAAAGAAAACAAAATAAAATAAAGAACAACGAGAGAGAAACAAAAAGAAATCACTGACGATTGTATTTAGAAAAACAAAAAAAAAAAGAGAGAGTTAGAGAAACACGGCTAAAAATCTAAACTTTTTTTTCTTGATTTCAGTTAAATTTTAATATATAATATATATATATATATTATATATATATGGGTAATATATGGGTAATTTACCGAGATTGTAATTCAAAATAATAATAGCAGCAATAAAAGCAGCCACGCATGTCAATTTTCAGAAGTCGTCAAATTTGAATTGCAAGTGCGACAATTTCATCCACAAAATGAAGATGTCAATAATAATAATTAAATGATAAAGATTTATAGCTAGAAGATACAATATACGACATAATCCCAAAACCATGCATCACTGAATTTCCACTAGAAAAAGAAAAATGGATCACTGAATTATTTGATTTCGTTATCAAATTATGGCACATGTAGTTGGATTATTTTTCTCCATATACGATCCATTTAATTAAAGAAATTACATGTATACTATATGTATCATTGTTTTAATTTTCATGCTTTATTCATGTTTAAATATTTAATATGATTACTAAATGAGTCGTGTTTATGTTAATGTTAATCATCTGCAGATTAAGCAGGTTCATGTCGAACCGACAGGTTTGTTGGATTTAATTTTCTATTGTGGGCTTAATATGTAAAATTAAATAATTGTGGGCTTAATATGTAAAATTAAATATGTACAACAGTCCAATTGTAAAGTCAATTTCAAATGTGGTCTTGATTGTGAATAATTGACTATTGAGGTGTCAACTAATTATAGATATTAAGTGGAGAGACCATTATATAATTTCTATTTCGTTAAAGGACTGAAATAGGAATTGTACTAACCCTACAGGTATATAAAGGTCCTGGTCCCCAGAAGAGTTGAATACGATTCAGTTTTACGTTCCTTTCGTACTGCTTCCGCTAAATCGATTCTTCAATTCTCTGGAAGGCTGCAAACCTAAAGATCGAACGAACAACGATTGTCAGGTACGCAACCCTTTTCTTATTCAATCTAGTTTGTTGAATCAGTGGTTGCACGATCTAGTTATTGTGAATTATTTGGAAGATTTAAATCCTTAACAAGTGGATTCAGAGCCTTGGCATAATTCTAGATTTTAGATTGATTTTTCGTATATTTTTTTGATTTGTTTACCCTACTGTTTATGGATTGAGGGTTTTGTTTAAAAAAAAAAAAAAAAAAAAAAAAAAAAAAAAGAGAAACAGGCTGGTTTTCTTATGGAGAGAGTCGGCGAAGGGAGGTTCCGTCTCTGATGGTTTGAAAAAAAAAATAAAAAAAAAGAAGTCGGCGGCACCTGTTATTTTCCTCCTTAATCGTTTTTGGTTTTTAGGGTTAGGGATGGAAAATAACGGTTAGGTCCCTGAAAAATTTTAGATTAGGTCCTTAATTTTTTATTTTTTCAGATTAGGTCCCTAATTTTTCTGTAACTTCAGATTAGGCCCCTAATTTCTGTAACTTCAGATTAGGCCCCCTAATTTTCTGTTTTTTTTTTCGTATATTTTTTTTCGTCTAGACCCGTGGACATATATTTAATTATATTAGAACCCCGAACTTTATTTATTCAAATTTATTTAGTCCAATTTTATAACTTAGTCTCTAATTTAGTGACTTAAAGACTAGATTATAATTTTTTTTTATTTTTTAGGGCTAAATAATTTTAGATTATTAAATATTTAGACAATCAATTCCTTTAATTGCAATTGTTTTGCTTTAATTACAATTAAATGAATTAATTTGTCGACTTGAGATTAAATTTTGGAGTGATTAAGTCCCTATTGTGTTTAATATTTGTTAAAATAAATTGATTTGATCAATAAGTCACACCAAAGTGACCTTCTATTAGCTTGAATTGGATTTATTTTAGAATATTAGACAGGGTGTATTATTACGAATTCGTTGCGGATAAGTAATCAGCCCAAAGGAAGGTTACTATCTGGCTAAGTTTTGAATTACGATGTTGCAATAAGTAGCAATAAGTATGTGATAATTGTTTGATTATTTTCCATGACAATGATATATCGGTCCAAAGGAAGATTTATTATTTGTCAGGACTATGTTATCAATATTTGATTGCTGCGTTGAGATACTAATTACAAGTGAATATTTTACATCCAAAGATGAGAATATTAATGTTGAGTCTGTATCTTATTTCCATTTTTATCTCTACTTATGTGAATTGTTTCATTTGTGAATTGTGAGCTTATACTTATCTATTTGTTTATTTTCTCTGATGTCAGCTAACATGTCATTTAATCCTGATTGTGTCCCTAAACTTAAGGGATCAAATTTTGAGTCTTGGAAATCAGACATTATGATCTTTCTGGGCTGTATGGATTTGGATCTTGCATTCAGGATGGACGAACCTGCTCCTCTTACGAGCACTGATGTTTCAAAGGTTTCAGTATGGAGAAGTGGAGCGTTCTAATCGCTTATGTCTGAATGAATCATGCAAAAAGGAGTCCCAGAACATTGTTTGTTCGAGACTCTGTCTCAGCTGAAAAGAACAATGCTCAAAACTATCTTGCCGAGCTGGAGAGGGCTTATGTCAAGAATGACAAAGCCGAAGTGAGAACACTTTTAGGAAAATTAACCTCCATGAAGTTTGCTGGCAATGGTGGTGCTCGGGAGCATATTCTTAGCATGTCTCAGATTGCAAAGAGACTGAAGGTGCTGGGTATGGCTTTACCAGATGACCTTTTAGTCCATTTGGTTATGAATTCTCTTCCTTCTCAGTATGGACAAATTAGGACTTCCTATAATTGTCAGCCGAATAAATGGACTC